TCTGGCTTTGCCATGGGATGGACCCCTCTCCGTCGTGGCCTCTCTGCCCCTCTGAAATGGTTTCTGCCAGGAAGGAGCTGGCAGGGCTGCAGGACCTTCTCTGGGAGCCTAGTGTCTCCTACCTGCACTCAATTTGCAACTCTCTGGATAGCCTTCTGCACCACTCTACTTGATTTTAACAAACCTAAATTTGATTTTATTTTATATACATATATATATTGCTTTTTGGGTCACACCCGGAGATGCACAGGGGTTACTCCTGGCTCATGCACTCAGGAATTACTCTTGGCAGTGCTCGGGGGACCATGTGAGATGCTAGGAATTGAACCTGGGTCAGTCATGCGCAAGGCAAATGTCCTACCTGCTGTGCTATTGCTCCAGCCCCCTTGATTTATATTTATTTATTTATTTATTTATTTTTGTGCCACACACGGCAGTGCTCAGGGCTTACTCATGGCTCTGTGCTCAGGGATCCCTCCTGGTGAGGCTTGGCACCTTGTGGATACTGGGATTAAACTCAGGCTGTCTACATACAAGGTAAGCACCTACCTGCTATGCTATCTCTCTGGCCTTAAAGATTTTTTTTTATATTTTATTTATTTTTTGGACCACACCCAGCAATGCTCAGGGGTTACTCTTGACTCTGCACTCAGGAATTATTCCTGAGAGTACTCGGGGGACCTTATGGGATGCCAGAGACCAAACCCAGGTAGGCTACATGCAAGGCAAATGCCCTAGCCACTGTACTATCACTCCGGCCCTAAGATTTATTTTAAAAGTAAACTCTATCATTACTCTAGGTGGATAACTGGTATTGCTGGCCAAGAACACGGTATCACCACAAAAGTAAATATCGGAACAGTGAGGTCAGCTGGCTCAGGGCTGTGGTTTGTAACTCTCGCAGCACCCAGAAGAGTATTTGGTACTTGGCAGGAAATGGAAAAAATACATATGAGTTTAGGGGCAACACCCAGTTGCTTAGGGCTTTCTCCTGGCTCTGTGCTCAGGGATCACTCTTGGCAGACTTGGTAACCATATAAGATGCTGGGGATAGAACCCAGATTAGCTGTATGCAAGGCAAACACCTGCCACTGTATTATCACTCTACCCCACCCCCCCGGTATATTTTGATGGGGGGATTAAATAAGTACATAAACCCAGGATTATATGCCAAGGTCTGGATGCCAAGAAATGTGCTGAACTTCTTAGATAAAATGGCAAAAGTAAGTATTCGATTCGTGCTCAAGTGACACCAGCCTCCAGTGAAGAGTTTCTCTTATTAAAAGTATTTTCTGGAGAGGTAGTAGAGCGGTTCAGATGCTTGCCTTGCTCGTGACCATCTGGGTTCGATTCCCGGCACCATATAGGGTTCCCTGAACCCCACCAGGAGTGGTGTCCTCCTAAAACAAACATAAAAGCGTTTTCCAGGGTGGCGGGCCATAGTTGACGGTGTGCAGGGCCTGGTGCTGGGGGTTTGCGCCCAGGATTATGAGGCTCCAGGCTGGAAGCTCAGTCTCCCCCATGCAGAGGGAGTGCTGTCTCAGACCCGGCAGAGGGACACTGTCACTTCCCCATCGTGCCTGTGTCCCAAGCACACATGCCTACACCCACGCGCATGTGACACGTGACGGGGGTAGGGGGGAGTGGGAGGGCAGCCACCCAGAGCCCTCCTCAGACACAGCCTCTGGGGGGCCCTTCTGCGTGGCGTCACTGAGGGCTGGGCAGGAGCCTGTGGGGGTGGCTGGCGGCGGCACAGGCCTGGCACAGGAAACCTGATGTCATCGTGACTCACTCCTCAAGCAGGGCTGGGGGTGGCCGTCAGCGTCACTCTCCCCTTCAGCCCTGGCCTATCCCGAGGCACCCGCCTGCGGCTGCTGTCATTTCTTCCTCCCTCTGCCTGCTAGCTGACGGGAGGAAGGGAAACGCCAGCCTGGCAGCCCCCGGCACGTGCTGTGACGGCAGGGAGACCAGGTGGCGGGGGCTGGGGCGCGGCAGGGCAGAGAGAGCCTGGGAACCCCTGAGGCGGGAGGCTAGGGGCCCCTCAGCAGCCTTCCTGCGTGATGATTACACAGGAGCACTGCACAGACGCATCATTTGCTCCATGTGGGCAGGCCAGTTAAGAACACACCAGGCCCCACATTTCACTGCTAGTGTCTGCGCTTCTGCAGCGGCCAGGATAAACCACCCCCTTGAACTTGCCAGAGCGCTGCCCATCGCATCTGGTGACGGGAGGGGGGCAGAGGTTTGCCTCCTTGTCCCTCTTTCTGCCGAGCCCAGCTGAAGGCTTTCACTCAGTGACTGGGGATGGTGGGGGGGGGGGGAGGCTGGGCTCCCAGGTTTGGGGTTAGGAAGCTGAGGGGAGTCCCAGCCTCAGAGCTAAGCCTGGACATCTAGAGTCTGTGTTCAAGAGCTGAAAAGGCCCCAGAGTAAGTGGCGCTAAGGGGGTGACGCAGAGGCCAGCCTTGGCAGAAAGCACCGGTCTTGGCTGGCACACCAGCCCTGACTCTGAAACACACCCACTGCCAAAGGAGCGCCTGACCCCTGCCATGCTGGAGCAGCCCCTGTACTCGTCTGTCCCTCTCCTCTGGGAACTGGAGACCTTCGGCTCCTAGCAGAGCAGGTGACACAGCCCCACAGGCCAGCTAGACTGCACCTGATTATCCCTTTTGCGCTCTATAATTTGTCCCCAGAATCAGCCATGAAGTCATTTGCCAGGCTGATGCCAAAGATAAGGGTCTGTATCAGCCTCTGGCATCTGTGGGCCAGACTCCCCGGCTCTGTTGTGGGCTTTGCCACCTCAGCCTCCATACTGGCCTGGCAGGGAGGCCCGGAGCACTCACAGCCGTGGGACTTGTGCAGGTGAAGAGTTGGTCTTCACCCATTTTACAGATGGGAACACCGAGGCACAATAGAGTGCTGTGACTCCCAGGGATGGCTGGAGTGTCCTTCTTCTGCAAGTACTCACCCCCTGAAACACACACAGCTTTATGGTTCCTCTTTTTTTTTTTTCCACAATTTAAATTCAGTTTTTGGGCTGCACTGGTAGTACTCTGGAGTTACACCCAGCTTGGTGCTTGGGGGACCCTGTGGTGCTGGGGATTGAACAATGGCTGCACACAAAGCTTTTTTTTTTCTTTAATTGAATCATCACAAATTTTGAAGTTACAGAGATATCTGTGATTGAGTTTTGTGCTGTTTTTGATTTTTGTAGCACAAGTGGCAATGCTCAAGGCTTACTCCTGGCTCTGTGCTCAGTATCATTCCTGGTGGTGCTCAGGAGATCATACAGGACGCTGAGGATCGAATCTAGGTCAGCCACGTGCAAGGCAAGCGCCCTCCCCACTCCACTACTGCCTGCGACACACTATTGAGAGTTCAGAATTTACAAGATGCAAAGGCTCAGGTGCCCACACAGAAGCTCCTGCAGCCTCCCCTGACCCCCAAAGAAACCACCCAGCCTGCTCTTGGGGGCCCGCGTGGAGCTGGAGGTGACACACAAGGGTGCAGAGCAGGACTGGAAGGGTCTCGGGTGGCTTCTGAAGTGCCCTGCTGTTAGGGCTGGAGGTGGGGCGGCTGGTTGGAGCCTCGTCCCCACCCAGCTGCACGTCTCCGCTTCCGAGTTCAGTTGGTTCATTTGTTGATCCTCAACACCAACCCCCTCCCATAGGGGCCCATGTCCTCAGAGCTCACCTCAGGGCTTACCACATCCTGCTCTGGGGCTGAGTGCAGGGAGGGTGGGCAGAAAGACTGTGGATTATACCCAGTGCCAGGAGAAGGTTGGGGTCTGCGGCTGGTGCACTTGGGGAATTTTCCCTCTTTGCCTCTGGGAGGCTCCTGAATTTCCCAGAAGGTGGCAGGGAGAGTCCATCTGTCAGCTGAGTTCCCTTTCAGAAACGGTTTATGACTTGGGCAAATGCTTCCCCGCCGGGGCCCTGGGGTTTTCCTGGGCTCCTGGGGAATAAGCCTGGCCCCACTCATAACTGGAAACGCATCACTGCCTCTGCCTTTCTTTCCTAGCCTCTTCCCCCTTCCCCCCACATGTCACGGACCAGATGGGTCCAGGCGATGACGTGGCTCCCATCATGGTCTGTGAACTGCTGAGTCCGGGTTCTGGGCTCTGTCTGCAGAGGGTGGGGGTACAGCTATAGGGCGCCAGGTCACTTATCTTCCCGTTTAGAAGGCGCCAAATAGCAGAAGATCCCTGTCATTTTTTTTTCTATTTTGGGGGCTTTGGACCACACCTGGTGGGTGTGTGGTTCTGTGATTCTGTCGCGCCTGCAGGTGTTCTGGGAATCAGAGGAAAGTGGAAATCAGACCCAGGGCATCAGGGGCCTGGAGTGATAGTACAGTGGTTAAGGCCCATCGGGGTTCGATCCTGGGCATCCTTGAGAGTTCCCTGAGCACCGCCAGAAGTGATCCCTGAGAGCAGAGCCTGCAGTAACCTCTGAGCGTCACTAGGTATGACCCCCAAACAAAACAAACAAAACCATGCCCAGGGGATCAAACCATACAGTATTGGGGATGGAACCCAGGCTTCCCTCCACGCAAAGCATCTGCTTCTGCCAATTCTGAGTGTCCCGCATTCCCAGGCGGAGAAGTACCCAGAGGAAAGGGGAAACAGGAGGGGGAGCCGGGCAGGGGCAGCACAGCCCCCCGCCCCCCCCCCCCCCCCAAGCAGAGCGTGTGCGCTGGAGAAGCCCAGTTCCCAGAGACTGTGCAGTGGGGTGGGCGGCTCTTCCAGACCCCGTCTGGCTGGCGGGGCGCGCGTTGGGGCCCGGGGTTCATCTCCAGACCGGTTCCCGCCTCCTCCCGAGCGTGCACCCCCTCGGGGGCCGGCCTGCGCCCCACGTGAGGCTGCGGGGGCGGCGCCGGCGCCTTCCTGCTCTGCCCTTGTTTGGGGCCCCGGGAGGCCGCGCCGCGGTACTTAAGGGCCGCGCTGCAGAGGGCGCCGGAGCAGAGCCGGTGTGGGAGCCCCGGAGCGCGCGGGGCAGCGGCGGGGCATGGGGCTGGAGGCGGCGAGCGAGCTGGAGTGCGCGGCGCTGTGCGCGCTGCTGCGGGACCCGCGGGAGGCCGAGCGGACGCTGCTGCTCGACTGCCGCCCCTTCCTGGCCTTCTGCCGGCGCCACGTGCGCTCGGCGCGGCCGGTGCCCTGGAACGCGCTGCTGCGGCGCCGCGCCCGGGGCCCGCCCGCCGCCGCCCTGGCCTGCCTGCTGCCCGACCGCGCGCTGCGAGCGCGCCTGGCCCGCGGAGAGCTGGCGCGGGCAGTGGTGCTGGACGAGGGCAGCGCCTCGGTGGCCGCACTGGCGCCCGACGGTCCCGCCCGTGTGCTGCTTTCCGCGCTTTTGCACGAGACCCGCGCGGCGCGCACCGCCGTGTGCTTCCTGCGAGGTGAGCGCACGCCCCCCCCCCCCCGCACTCCCCCCCGCCCTGGCCCCAGGCCCGTGCCCTCCCGCTCACCCTGCCCGTCCCTCCCTGCAGGAGGCTTCGAAGCCTTCCAGGCCTGCTCGCCCGAATTGTGCTCCGAGGCCCCCGCCCCGGCGATGCCACCTGGAGGGATGGAAGATAGCCCCGCGGAACCCAGAGCGCCCCTCTATGACCAGGTGAGCCGAGCTTTCGGAGACCCATGTGTGTCCCCGGGACCGTCTGTTGGTGGGAGGGCCTGCACCCGGAGCTGGGCGTGTTTGTCTGCTCTGCATTTGTGGCGTCTGTGCGCGGGAGCCCCTGCGTATTCCTGAGGCCTCATCCCGCCACCGCTGCTCTCTCTCCAGGGGGGGCCCGTGGAGATCTTGCCCTACTTGTACCTGGGCAGCTGCAGCCACGCTTCAGATCTGAAAGGGCTGCAGGCTTGCGGCATCACTGCGGTGCTCAACGTCTCCAGCTGCCCCAACCCCTTCGAGGGCCTTTTCCACTACAAGCGCATCCCGGTGGAGGACAACCAGGTGGTGGAGATCAGCGCCTGGTTCCAGGAGGCCATTGGCTTCATCGGTAAGGGGTGCTGGGAGCAGGCATGGGCGGGCCCCTGTGTCCCGTGGCCTCCGCCCACTGAGACCCCCGTCCCCCTGCTTCCCTTGCAGACTCGGTGAAGAGCAGTGGAGGAAGGGTGCTGGTCCATTGCCAGGCGGGCATCTCTCGCTCTGCCACCATCTGCCTGGCTTACCTGATCCAGAGCCACCGCGTGCGGCTGGACGAGGCCTTCGACTTTGTGAAGCAGCGCCGGGGAGTCATCTCGCCCAACTTCAGTTTCATGGGGCAGCTGCTGCAGTTTGAGACTCAGGTGCTGTGCCACTGAGGCACGGCCCATCTCCGCCAGCGTATTAGGGGAGCCTCGGAGCCCCTTCACCTCATGGACAGCTGCTAGTTCTGGGACTTGGACAGCCCCCCCCCTCCACAGCCCCCCACCCCCAGGGCACCAGGAAGACTGGACTTTCTCACCTGGTACTCTTCTTAGGGACTTGAGGGCTGGCCCTCATCCAGGTGTAGAATAAGGGTGCGTATGCTCCCCACTTCCCCCAGCTGCTGACAGGAACGAATCAGACTCACCTCCACCGTCCCACCACAGTTTTAAGTCTCGGTAGCTTCGGATCCTCAAGGAACAAACCATGACGGCCAGGAGCCCCCATTAGGGGTGGGATGGGGTTGACCACCCCACACTTGGAGCCACAATCTTGTGCCCCTCCAGCCTGGGGGGGACAGGGCTCAGGGAGCATGAGGTTCCGTACAGACCCCTCTTGCTTACATCAAATGTCCGTGAGCATTTCCCACCATTGGTATTGGAAAGTTACTTGTGTTCTTACGACATTTAACACTCCTTCCCCCACTTCCTCCCAGCCCTGTGGGCCGGGCTTGGAAACTTTGCACTTTATATTTATACAGAACATTGAGGATGTGTTAATAAAACGTTTCTGTTGTTTTTGTAACATATATATATATATATACACACATATATATATACATATATAAATACAAGAAAAAAATTTCCCAAGTGTCTGTTCTCAAGTCAGTGCCTGCGCAAATGCTGGAAAGCCTTTTCTCAACCAGATTTCACCTTCAGCCTGACATCTGGGATCTGGAAGGTGGGTGTGGGTGTTGCTCACCCCCAGGAGGCACTCCAGTGGACCCCATTCTCCCGTCCCAAGGGTCCCTGTCCCCAGAGGCAGGAGAATGGTTTCTGGGAGCCTGCCTTTCACTCCCACCACCAGCTCTGGTTCTGTGGGGGAATAGCGTCACCTACCCAGACCCACTTTGATTCTCGGTCCTGCACTGGATGTGTTCGCCTGAGGCACGTCCTGTAGGCATGGCCCTGCTCTTTTGTCCTTGAGTACGATCTGTGCCAGGCCATGCCCCCATTGCCCACCGTGGGTAGCACACCCCTCAAGTCTACACCCCCTGAGGATGCTCAGTGGGCCTGGACTCCGGCAACCTTGCCCTTGCAGCAGAGACCCCTGCAGTCTGGAGAACCCCCCCTGCTCCTCACACCCATCCATCGTTTATTCCGGAAGCTTCCTTGAGCTTCACTGGTTCCAGGTGCAGCTCAGAATGAGGCTGTTAGGGGCATACAAGGTGCAGGCTCAGAGCTGCTAGTCGTGGTAGGGGTGTATCTTGAAGCTCCTCAGGGGTTTCTGATTGCAGGGGTATTGAGACCCTTGAGAATAGCTGCTGTCTAGCTTCTGCACTCCACCGAAGGGCCACCTCATCTCTCAGGGCATCCTGAGTGCCTGGCAGGGGGCACTCCAGGTGGGCAGTGCAGTTTGTCCTGATTCATATATTTATTTCTTTTTATTTTTGGGGGGCCACACCTGATCGTTCTCAGGGTTCCTGGCTTGGCTTGGAAGACTATGGGGTGCTGGGGGTCAGCTGCATGCAAGGCAATTCTCTGGCTCAACATAGAGCCATTTCGGGGCTGGAGCATTAGTATAGCGGGTAGGGCGTTTGCCTTGCTCGTGACCAACCCAAGTTCAATTCCCGGCATCCCATATGGTCCTCTGAGCGCCGCCAGGAGTAGTTCCTGAGTGCAGAGCCAAGAGTGGCTCCTGTGCACCACTGGGTGTGACCCGAAAAGCAAAACAAAAACAAAAACAAAACAAAACATAGAGCCATTTCTTTCTAAGATTGATCTTGTCATTAGCACCCACTGCCCCACCTCTGAGGGTGATGCTGGGCATTACACAAGTCAGTCCATGCCAAAGACTCAACCTGGCCCCTGCCTGCCCTGCAGTAGGGACTCAGGACTCGCCAGCCAGGGATGGTGCTGGAGGCAAAGGTTTCAGGGTGCCGGGTGACCAGGCTGGTGCTCATGGGGTTGGACCATGTTCCCTTGAGTGGATATTGACTTGTGGGCAGGGCATCTTCAGGTCCTGGAGTGGGCTTGTGTCTGGACCCCCCCACAATCCCCACCCTCAGCCTCAGGGGACATTCAGCCAGGGCCTCCTGCCACTGAGGCTCCTGCCCACCTGCTCTGTGTCCTCTTTGCCCTGTCTCTACTTCCCCTCCCCCTCTCCCCTTCCTCCTCAGCCAGTGTTAAGTGTGTCTCCTGCCGGGCAGCCTGACCCCCTAGGAGCAGGGTTAAGAGTTTCTCATCCAGGAATTTCTCATCCAGCGCGTGGCCATGGTGCTGAGAGTGACCCTGGCAGCTCTGCTCTCTGTCATCCCCGCTAGTTCCAGCTGTACCGGTCAGGTGTGTGTCAGTGCCACAGAGAGGGCTGGAACCCTGCAAACACGGCGGGCACTGTGGCCAGGTGGAGGCCTGTGAGCACTGAGCTACCTGACAAGAACCTAAGAGAGCACAAAGCTCGGTGAGCACCTTGACTGAGGGTTCAAGCCCTGCAACCTGATGTGTGACCCTCAGTACCACAGCGTGTGTGCGACCAGACACTGCATCATCAGTGACATCTACATTCTCAACAACAGAGAAGGGAGTGGGCAAGGAGGCAATAAAAATAAACACAGCGAAAAGTTAGTCTTCCAAACTTTAACTGTTTTCCTCCCTTTCCCTTCTTCCTCTCCTCCTCCCTCCCTTTCCTTCTTCCTCTCTTCTTTCCTTCTTTCCGTTCTCCCTCTCTTCCCCTTTCTCTGTCTCTTCTTCCTTGTTTTCTGCCCCCCCCTCGCCCCAATTTACTACCCTTTTTCTTCTTCCTTTTAATTTACTTTGACTTTTTGGTTTTCCTTTGGGCCACACTTTGAGTGATGCCCAGGTTATTCCTGTCTTTGCACTGAGGAATTTCTCCTGGCAGTACTCGGGGGACCATATGGGATGCCGGGGATTGAACCCAGATCGCTCCCATGCAAGCAAACACCCTACTTGCAGTACTGTCTCTCTGGCCCCAACTTTAACATTTTTGATTGTGGCAAAAACTATACATAATTTATAACTGATACAGCGTTACAATGACCAGTTAAGTATATTCTTGCTGTACCCTGTGAATCTCCAGAACATTTCCATCTTTCAAAGGAGGAGCTCTGGACAGTCTCTAAACCTGCAGGGGCCCCTGTGGACACCCAGGATATTCCAAGGGGGCTGCAAATGTTGATGGGTCACCATGGCCCAAGGCTAGGGGATCAAGGAAACATGATTGTCAGACAGGGGCTTTAACCACCCGTCCACAGACCAGCACCCATTCGTGGTGAAGAAAGGTTGTACACCTCTGGCCTCCCTTATTGGTGGGAGGTGTGGTCCGGACACGGGGGACCACCATTCCACAGAAGTACGAAGGTCAGGGAACCCTGTTTTAAGGAGCTCCATGTCCCCACTCTCAGCTCCACTGTCCTACTCTATGTCTGAGTTTGGTGGCTCTGGAACGCCACATGATGGGTCACACCACCTGGGCCTTTTGGGACTGGCCGATTCCACAGAGCAGAGTCAGGACCTGCCACTCTCCTCTGTCTCTCCTCATAAGGGTGATTCTGGCCATGCCAGGTCCAGGGGTGCTGGGGGTCCACAGGATACTGAGGCCAGGCTCAGAACCTCGTGTTTGGGAGGTGTGTGCTCCATCTCCATTGAGCAGATGCCATGGGTTACACTAGCACGCCACAGGGACAAATGGAGACATTACTGGCGCCTGCGCGAGTAACGGGATGAGTAACGGGATGTCAAGTGATCAAGTGATCAAGTGCTCCATCTAATACTGCCCCTTTTTCCCTGCCACCAGCTGCTGTTTCAGATGGGGACTCCCAAGCAGTGCTCAAGGGGGTCTGAGGCCACTCCTGCCATACTCAGCTGACTGGGCTGGATGGTGAAAATGGTCTGGTGATGTGGTGCTGCTTAGGCCAACACAGCGGTGCTGGGGGCCCAGGGGACCTGGGATAGAACGGGAGACCTGGGGCCTGCTAGGCAAGTGCCCCCGAGCCAGCTCCTGCTGCTTTGCAGTATAAAGAATCCTTTTCCTCCCCAGCAGGCGATCATTATGACCATTTCCGAGCCCTTGTGGAAGGAGCTTCCTGTTTCCACCTGTGTGAATGTGTTGGGTCTCTAGCAATTCCTCCTTTATCCCCTTCTCCCTGGGGACCCAGCACAGGACTTTGGAGAGTCACTGGGCTGTGGGAGTGGCAGAAACACCGGGCATTGTCAGGGACTGGGGCACTGTCACACATTGTCACCAGTGTAGTGCGATCTCCCCCTGTGGTGTTGAAACGGAGGCAGGAACCCCCGGAGAGACACAAGGGGAGACACAGGCAAGAAGCTTTGGTGTCTGACTCTCGGAGGGGATGGAGGCTGACTTGGCACCCCTGTGTGTGTGGACCCTGAGCTCCCCTCCTCACACAGGGCAGGCTTGTCGGGGTCTCTTCTGACATGGGGCATTCTTTTACTTTTACACATGGGTGTGTGTGTGGGGGCAGATGAGCCAGCCTCAAAGGTGCTCAGGCCTGAGTCCTGGTTCTATGCTCAGGAATCATTCCTGGCAGGGCTCAGGAGACCATCTGGGGTACTTAGGCAAGGCAAGTGAGCAAGTGCTCTAGCAGCTGCTCTATGGCTCTAACCCCACAGGGCATGCTATTTGTGGGTCTTCCCTGCTCAGACACTGTGATGGTCTGTTTTATGTTTGTGTACTAAAATTAAAAGCATCTACAAATGGGCTGGAGAGATCTAGCTCGATGGTCTGGGCACATGCTTTGCATGCAAGAGGCCTGGGTTTGTTCCCTGGCACCACCCGGAGCAACTCCTGAGCACAGAGCTTGGAGTAGCTCCTCAAGCACAAAATAAGAGAAAAAAGAGTAGTGGCTCGTCTGGAGCTGTGGGCAAAGGGTTGGATGCCTGCTTTGCAGGTAGAGACTCAGGTTTGAGCTCTGTCACCACATGCTCCCCTGAGCGTTGCCAGGAGGTTCCTGAGCACAGCTGGGAGACGGTCTGAGCACTGCTAGGAGTGGCCCCAGTACTTCTTCCTCCAATGTAGTGGCCATTTCTTCCTTTCGTAGAGAGGACAGAGGTGCCTCTGCCCAGACAGCCTTTCCCTGGCTGAGTCCCGGGATCGGGCAGGAAGGAGCCTCTTGATTGGCCAGTGACACCCCTTCCAGCTGGCCGCTAGGAGTGGTGACTCCTTTCTGTGAAGCTCCTCTGACCCCTGGTGGTTGAAGTGGATCTCAGCCTAGGAGCACCTCCAAGTGGGAGACCCCTTCCCCTGCAGTGGGCCCCACCCCTTCTTCCTGTTTCTCTCACTTTGGTCAGGCCAGGGAGGGCCCGTTCAGGGTGCAGAGGGCTGGGTTAGGCTATGGGTGGGGGCGCACAGATGGGACTGCAGCGGGAGCACCTGGCAGGGGTGGGGGCTGGGGGGATGCTACAGGTGCCCTGGGTTGGCGCAGACCTGCAGGTGGGGGCTAGAGTAGCTGCTACTTAAAGGGGGTATGTATGGGGGGCCGTGGCCTGCAGTGAGGCTGCCTGTCTCTGCGGGCTTGGGTGTGTGCGGCGGAGCTGGGGGACCCTCAGAGCATCAGCATGGGGAGCCTCTGGCCTTGGGCGCTGGCTCTGCTCTCTCTGCCAGGTAAGCAGCTGCCCCACCCCGCCCCCTCCTCCAGCCTACCTGTGCTCCTGAGAGGCCAGTGGGCAGTGCCTGCACCCTGCAGGGGCCCAAAGGCACCCACGGGACTCAGGAAATGGGTGCCCCCACGAGTGTGTCTGTGAGTCAGCCCTGAGAGGTGCACAAGGGTGGTCTCCAACGCTCAGGGTCTCTGTGCTGGGGGAAGCGGTGGGCTCAGTCCTCCAGCCTGGCCATACCGGGTTTTTCTGGGGCTGAATCATCTGTTTTTTTGAGCCACTCCCAGCAGTGCTGGATCTGTGCCCAGGAATCACCCCTAGTGGGCTTGAGAGACCATATGGGGTGCCGGGGATTGAACCAGACCGGCTGCATGTAAACACCCTATCTGCTGTACTATTGCTCCAGCTCCTGGGATTGAGCCATTAGAAAAGAAACCCCCAAATGCTCCTATTTCTGGGGAGGATGTTGGACTACAGCTGGCGGTGCCCAGGAGACCATGTGTGTGCTTATATTGAACCCAGGGCATGCAAGGCAATTGTTTAACCCTTGCACTATCTCTTCGGTCCCTGGATGGCAGGGCTGGAACCCTGGGCTCACCTGGAGCCCTGTTCCCCCTTCTGTGTTGGTGCCCAAGGCTGTGCCACTCCTCCCCCTCTCCCTCCCTGCAGCACACCCAGCTGGGGCCAGGCTGTGTTGGGGCGGGGGCTCCCCTTGCAGGGCTGTTCCAGTCTGAGCACCAGCTCGCACCTCATCTCCCCAGAGGGGGAGCACCTGGGGCATCGGTATGAATGTGCCCGTTTGCCTGGCAGGACTGATCCTAGGAGTGCCCTTAGCCTCTAACTGCCAGGGAGCCTGTGTGCCCAGTTTCCTAGAAGATGTCACCACTGAGGAGACCCAGAAGTCGGAAGACAAGGACATTCCTGCAATTAACCAAGGTGAGGCACTACCCTGGGAGCAGGCCTGTGGCACAGAACTACCTGGGGAGAAGCAGGCCGGATACTCAGGTGTGTGGAGGCAGGGCCGGCCACTCGGGTGCTCAGCGGCTCCAGGCGAAGAGGTAGTTCTGGGCAGCTTCAAAATCTTTATCTTCTCCATTAAGGGTTTTTTTTTGAGGGGGAGGTGGTGCTTGAGGCACATTCAGTGGTGCTCAGAGGGCCACTCTGAGCTGGCGGTGTTCAGGGGACCAAGTGGTGCCAGGGATAGACTCCAGGCCCCTGACACGCAAAGGAGGGAGTGCTCAACCCTTGGCTCGTGATCTCTAGCCCTGGCCAAAGTTAGTCTACAAGGAAAAACATGTCTTCTGTTGGGCTTTTGTATTTTGCTTTGGTCCACTCCTGATTCTGCACTCAGCTATCATTCCTGGAGGGCACAGGGGAACCACTTGAGGTGCTGAAGATCAGCCATATGCAAGGCAAGCACCCATCCACTGTGCTATATTTTGGCCACGCGCTGTGTTTTTTTTTCTAAATAACCTGACAAACTATGGGTCTCTGTGATTCACAAATCATCAGTATTTGTTGAAAAGACATGAACTGCCTCTTGCAGGATGGTCTGCAGCTGTGTGTGGGAGAGAGCAAGGCCACCAAGTCAGGCTCCAGGCCTCTTCTCAGCTGAAGAATGGGGGACCAAACAGTATCCTGGGGAGAGCTGGGGTGCAGGATGTGAGAGCTCACAGGTTGGGGGGAGCCGGGGGGGGCACCCAGAGGAGTGGGCGTCTGCAGGGAGCCAGCCATCCTGTGCTCAGCCCCTCTTTATGGGCTGGAGTGGGCCAGTGGGGAATGGCACTGTGGCCAGAATCTGAGTTTTCAGGGCCTCAAATTTCTGAAGTTGGGAGACCCTCAGTCTGAGTTCCGGGGTGCAGCTCCTGTCTGAGCTGACAATAATGGAGTGACTCGTTCTGCTCAGGATCCTGGGACCTGGTGGACGTACCCAGCTGCTGCTGGGAGTGGTGGCATGAGGTCTCACAGCTGTAGGTCTTTGGCCAAAAAAGCAGCATGTGGGGGAGGGAGGGAGGGGGGAGGGGAACATTCTCTCCTACGGGTTGTAACACCCCCTCTTTCAGGTGGGTCAGTCTGAGGCGGCATTGGAGTGCAGAACTCCGTGGGGTTCAGGCTTTTCCTTTCCCTCATCAGACAGGGCCTGATCAAGGCTCGGGCCTTGCAGCGGGTGGGGTGTGAGTGGGGTGGGGGGGCTTTGACTGAGCCCAGGACACAGTGCTTGCTCCTCAGGAGCAGGCTGGGGGTCTGTGTCTGAGGGTCAACACAGTCCTGCTTCGCTCCCAGGGCTCATCCCGGAGGAAAACCCAGAAAACAGCTTCCTCATCGAGGGGGACATCCTGCGGCCGGTGAGTGGAACTGTGCATGTGTCCAGACAGGTACATGCATGCTGGTGCTTGCACGCACACATATAGCACACATGCCTGAGCTTGTACACACACATGCACTCGCACACACATGCACGTGTGCAAAGACACACACGAGAATAATCTCAGATGGGCTGGGAGGTCTTTGAGTGTTCTGTGTATTTGTTGCTCTGAGTGTAACAGATACCTCGTCTTCCCAAGTCAGGGTGGTCTATTAGGAATACGCCAGGCAGTGGGGGTGGGGGTGGGAGCTGGGGTGGGAGAGAGTGGGCAGCATCAGGGCTGGAGGGACTGTCAGCCCCTGACGGCTTCCTGAAGGAGGAGGGGCTTCAACCTTTCAGACTCAGCGTGGTGCCTGCTCAGGAGGGAGCCTGAAGATTCAGGAGCTAGGAAGATGGGAGATGGGGAACAGGAGGCAGAGGGTTCAATGGAGCTGGAGAAGGTGCAGGTGGTGGAGGGGAACATGGGGGGTTGATAAGAGATGGGTTGGGGGTGCATCAGGAAGAGCTGGACGGTGACTTGGGCCCTTGCAGAGGGGAGGGGAGTGCAGCGTGGACCTAGGGAACACCTGTGTTGTGACTGGCATATGCACACTGAGGGGCCGCAGGTGCATCTGGGCAGGAACCCAGGGCAGGTGAGGCCCTACTCCAGGTTCCCCTGTGAACACTGGGGGTTGGGGGAGTCCCAGAAGCCCTCTGGAGGCTGGTGAGACTATGAAACCTGTGTTCAAAAAGGTTTTTGTTTCGAGGCCACACACACTGGTGCTCAGAGGTTTTTCCTGGCTCTGTGCTGTTGGGGGCGACCCCTGCCCGTGCTAGGAAAACGTATGCGGTACCTGGGTTTCTAACCAGGGTCTGCAGGATGAGAGGCAAGAGCCTTCATTCCTGTACCGTTGATCAGCGGAGCTAGAGACGACAGTGTTGTTGGGGTGTGTCCCAACCAAGATCAACAGCAGGAAGTTGAGCCGGAGCTGCCTGAGATAACCCCTCACTCCTCTGCCTTGCTCAGGAAGCTTGACGCTGCTGTGTCCCAGGAGGGCCTCTGGGAGGGGAGCTGTACCTGGGGCTGGGCCCTCATGAGCTAAGTCCTAGGGTGCTGCAGGGGCCTTCTTAGGGACACTCTGCAGGAGAGGGCTCAGGTTTTACTGACCAATTGACCTGCTGCAAGTCCTGCCTTCTGCAAAACAAAGGGTGTGCAAGTTTTTTTGTGGCTGCCCCCAACTTGCCACTTGTACCTTGTTTCTAAAGGCCTCCCCAGCCAGCATCACAGGCTCATACTTCTAGTTTCTTCAAGGCTTTGGTGGTCTGGGAGCTGCCTGGGGAAGGAAGCCTGGGCCCAGGGTTGTCCCCCCAAGGGTACCAGGGCTGCCTTCTTTCCCCAGAGTCCCTTCCAACTACTGTCGGCTTCCAGCAACAAGTGGCCCAAGAACGGAGGAGTGGTCGAGGTCCCCTTTGTGCTCTCCAAAAAGTACAGTGAGTGAGCATGTGCCCGTGGTCCTGGGGATCTTGGGGCCACTCCGGTATAGCCTCGAATCCTGGATGGTTCTTCCCTGGGCTTCTCCTTCTCCGTCACTGGCCCAGTCCCATCACCTTCCCAGACCCCTCTCTGCAGTATGTGTCCTGAGCTAGGAGAGCAGGTGCTGAGAACTGTCCCAGAGAGAGTGGGCCCTTTCTGGCATGTCTGAAGACAGATCTCACCCCAGGCCAGCCAGGCTATCTGCAGTTTCTTCCCAACAACCCTCCTTACCAACTGTTTTGTTGTTTCTGGGCCACACCTGGTGGTACTCAGGTCTTACTTCTGTTTCAGCACTTGGGGATCACTCCTGGCAGGGCTCAGGGGCCCCTATGTGGTGCTTAGGATTGCACCTGGGTTGGACACTTGCAAGGCAAGCACCTTCCCCCACTGTATGATCTCTCTGATCCCAATCTTTTTTTTTTTTTTTTTTTGGCCATACCCTGCAGTACTCAGAGTACTCAGGTTCTGCACTCAGAGATCATTCCTGGTTGAACTCATGGGACCATTTGGGGTGTCCGAGATTGAATCTGGGCTGTCCAGCTAGGCAAACATCCTACCTGCTGTCCTCTTGCTCTGGCCCCTGAGCCTGAGTTTTTTATTTTTTTGTTCTTTTTGGGTCACACCCAGCAATGCACAGTGATTATTCCTGGCTTTGCACTCAGGAATCACCCTTGGTGGTGCTCAGGGGACCATATGGGATGCTGGGAATCAAACCTGGGTTGGCCACGTGCAAGGCAAACGCCCTACCTGCTGTGCTATGGCTCGAGCCTTCAGAGCCTAAGTTTCTTGACAGGTCATTCCTGGGGGAGTTGGTCATTCCTGGGGGAGTTTATTACCCTCCAGGAAGATTCGCCAGGACTCTGGGGGCTTGTCTTATCTCTCCTCTCAGACAAGGCCTGTTGCCAGATTATCCTGGAGGCCATTGCCGAGTTTGAGCGGCTCACGTGCATCAGGTTTGTCAGCTACAAGGGTCAGAGAGACTTCGTGTCCATCGTCCCCATGTTCGGGTATGTACACCTGGGTGTGTACGTGTGTGTGCATGTGTGTGCATGTGCGTGTGTGCACGAATGTTCATGTGTGTGCACGTGTGTGTGTATGCAGAGCAGGTTCCTCCGCTGGCTTCTGGGTTCAGCTATATTAACCAAGTCATAGGTGGGAACTTTTCTGTGGACCCGTCCCCTCGAAGTCCTTGGCACCCCTGAGGGCTTTGCACACCAAGATTTGGATCTACGAGCAAAAGGTGGGGTGGGGGGGCACGCAGGTGTCCTCTGCTCTGAGATACCTGGCGGGTGCACGGTGAGTTCAGGCTTTAGGGACCCTCTGGTCTGGGCTCCATGGTGCAGGGGCTGAGACTTGGGGCAAGTTCCTTAACCTTGAAAAATCTCTTTTTTGTTTGTTTTGTTCTTTGGGCCATGCCTGGTGGGTGCTCAGGAGCTGCTCAGTGCTTGGGGGTCATTATGCAGCTGCTGTCACCCAACGAGCTGCTTCCTTCAGCCCTGTCATCAGCTCCCCCTCCCTGCAGCGAAGGCTGGTAGTGGGGTGCTAGTAGTGGGCTCCCATTCCCATTGCCAGCCTATCTTATGGGGGAAGCTGGGGCGTACCCCTTTCTCTGGGTCCCAAGTCTTGCCCACCCTTAGTTAGTTTGATTCAGCATTTTAAAATTTATTTGTCTTCTGGACCACACCTGGTGATGCTCAGGGCTCTCTTCTGGCTCTACACTTAGGGATCACTCCTGGTGAGGTTTGAGGGTTCACTCCTGGTGGGGTTTGGCCTTCATTTCACAGAAAGTCAGGCTGTGAAGGGACTGGCAGGGAAGGCAAGCAGGCCGGAAGCAGCCTGGGGTGGGGCCCAGCTCCAGGGGCTCTCCCTGATCCCAGCGTGGGGGAGGCGACTATAAAGGCCTGACTCTCCTGCCCTGTCCACCACCCAACATCTCTGTCCTGGCCCCGCAGGTGCTTCTCCAGCGTGGGCCGCAGTGGAGGGATGCAGGTGGTGTCCCTGTCGCCCACGTGCTTGCGGAAGGGTAAGGGCATCGTTCTGCATGAGCTCATGCACGTGCTGGGCTTCTGGCACGAGCAATCCAGGGCTGACCGGGACCGCTATGTTCGGATCAACTGGAATGAGATTCGGCCAGGTGAGTTTGCTGGAGCCAGAGGGGGAGCTCCCCTTCCCACTGCCAGCCTATCTCATGGGGAAGCTGGGGTGTACCCACTTCTCTGGGTCCCAAGCCTTGCCCACCCTCAGTTGGCTTGCTTTGGCATTTTTTTCCATTTATTTGTTTTCTGAACCACACCTGGTGATGCTCAGGACTTACTTCTGGCTCTGCATTCAGGGATCACTCCTGGTGAGGTTTGAGGGATCACTCCTGGTGGGGTTTGGAGGACCATATGGGGTATATCGGGGATCGAGCCTGGTTGACTGTGTGCAAGGCAGTTATCCTATGTGCTGTACTGTCTCTCTGGCCCCCAGTTGGTTTACTGTGAGTCTCATTTCTCCAAGCTGCCCTGGGCACAGGGTTGGTGGCACCCTCCTGAGTCTTGTTTGGTGTGGGTCTTTGCAACCTCAGGTGCCAGGCGTCCCATGTGGACAGTGGGCAGAGGAGGTATCCCAGGGGCTGGGGTCTGAGTCTAGATGATAACCTTGGAGGTAGCAGGTCCAGGTGCTCAGTGCCAGGGAGGGAGGGGGCTGAGGGCAGCCACTCGGGTGCTCAGTATGTGAGGTGGGCACTGATAGGTACGTGGGCAGAGGAATCATAGAGATACCGCGTCATGGAAAGCAGCAGTAGGCACAGCCCCATCAGTCTGAGGAATAGTCTTAGCCCCAGAGGCTGCGGCTGACTGTGGGGCTCTGAGCCCAAGGGGGTTTGTCCTTATGGGGGGCGCCCTGATGCAGGAAGTAAGAGGAACAGTCCGAGGCTGCAGGAGGGAGCGGAGCAGAGGCGCATGAAAAGAGCTGGTTTTGGGGTGTGGGAACAGGGCGAGGTATGGGAAAGCTCTGCACAGTCTTGGGCTCCCGGCGTGTGGGCACTACAGTGGGGTTGCCAGGGGAATCAACTGGGGAAAGCTGCCTGAGTTAGAGGGCAGCAGCAGGAATGCTCCTGAGACAGGGGCGTTCTGCGGGAAGGTGGGCAATGCCTCGTAATGGGAGGGGGAGAGGCTGAGACAGGTTAGTCTCAGTTAGGGAGGTGGAGGGATGGGGGAGAGTGATCACGGCTGTGGTCTTTCAGTGCAACGCTCAGCAGAACTGGCCTTTGAAAGCCAGCAAACTGCAGGCACAAAGGAGGTTTAGTGTAGATGTTCTGATCATGATGTGAAAAGCAGAAACTAATCACAAATCCCAGCGGAAAAAATTTTCACTTAGGTTAAATTCTATATATTTTAGGGCTGGAGCAATCGTACTTGGTAGGTTGTTTGCCTCGCAGATGATGGCCGACTGAAGCTCTCTCCTCAGCATCCCATATGGTACCCAAGCAATTCCTGAACACAGAGCTAGGAGTAACCCCTGAGTATTGCCAGGTGTACCCACTCCCCAGCCCAAATTTATATGTATTTTAGCTCCAGGGGTAAGGAAATTGCAGGAAGTCTGAAAAAAGGCTTAAGAATCATTGGTTCACAAAGCAATGTTCAGAGAAAATGTTTAACAAAGATGTCAATAGATTAAAAAAAAAAACAAAGCACTTCAATCTGTATTAAGAACATAAAAGAAAGCAGAAGGGAATTAATGATACTAGGATAAGTGAGTTACAAAGAGCACTAATAAACTCCAGTTCCTTAGCGGTTAAAAAAAAAAGGTTAAAAAACACCAGCTATCCTAATGGAAAAAATTTCTTAATAATGGGGAGAAATTGGAGTATACACAATTTTTTTTTAATGTAGGAAACTGTTAGAATTATACAAACTAATAACAGTAATTAGCTGTGGTGGGAGGCGGGAGTTAAGGGGGATGGAGTGGGAGACTTGTTAACATTTTTGAAGTTTTTGTGCCAGATGAACATACTGCTTGTTCAAAATTGCGTCTAACTTTGGAGGGGTTTTAAAAGCCAGTGCGCTCTCCAGGGGCAGGGAGTGCAGGCTGATGACGGATCAAGATGTTGAAATGCCACTGATTGGGGACCAGGTGGTTGCTGGTCACTGTGGGGAGGCTGTGAGAGTGGGAACGTGGGGTTCGAAGGCTTTCAGAGGTTCTGGACTTGGGGTAACCACCAGGAATGAGAGTTGGGAGGGCTCAGGTCTGTCAATCCGCGGGGTGGGCAGCAGTTCTTACTCTATCTCGCCGCCAGGAGGCGTCTAAAACACTTGGAGGAAGCTGGGTTTTGTATCAGCTCAGCTCCTCTAGAGGGCAACGGGACACTGGTCAACAGGTCCCCACTCTCTCAGGCCACCTGAGAGTGCAGGTCTGGACTATCCCAGGGCAGGGGCCTGAGGAGGTAGGCAGGGAGCAGTGCAGGGCGTGGAGAGCAAGGGGGAACATGCAACTGGAGTTCTGCATCCCTGAGCTTAGGTGGTGCTCGGGGAGGGGGGCGGGCTGCATCATGGGTGCAGGGAATGAAACCTAAGGCCTCCCGCATGCAAAGCCGCTCAGCTCAGCCCCTCGACCCCTTGTTGCAGGCTTTGAGATCAACTTCATGAAGTCTCGAAGCAGCAACATGATGGAGCCTTACGACTATTCATCCATCATGCACTACGGGAGGTGAGTCCCCCTCACCCCCCAGCTCTGCTGTTCCCACTGTGCCCGCACTCAAGACCCCGCCTGGTGGCTTTCAGGTTTGCCTTCAGTCGCCGCGGGCAGCCCACCATTGTGCCTCTCTGGAATCCCAGTATCCACATCGGCCAACGCTGGAACCTGAGCTCCTCAGACATCACCCGAGTCCTCAGGCTCTATGACTGTGATGCGGGCAGGACAGGTGCGTGTGGCAGGACCAAGAGGGCACAAGGAACTGGGAGGTGATGGGGTGGAGGCATGTGGGTGATGTGGTGAGAGCTGAGGCCTGGCGGGCAGCTGGGGGCCAGCAGCAGGAAGCTGGGAGAGGGGTTGGGCAGGCAGGCTCCTGGATACCAGTGGGAACACGGGAGAGGGAAGCCGGGAGAGTCAGCAGGGCTACAGATGGTGCTGGGAGCTGAGGCCCAGGCAGCTGGTGCCTCTGGGTCTGGGTTCTGGAGGGCTGGTGTGGAGCAGATGAAGTGTTTGGATGTCTTAAGAGAGTGATTTTGGAGGCCTCGTCAGGGCATAGGTGGTTTGGAAAGGAGGTGGCTGTGGGTTAAGAAGGCTCTGGGGTTCAGCCCAGAAGGTATGTGTGATCGGAGAGGATGAAGGGTAATGACTTATCTTAAACTTTAGGGGGGGTGTGTTACCATGCCTGGCAGTGCTGCTGGGTGATCTCCAGCTCAGAGGACATGTGCTGGGGGTGGGACTCAGAAGCTGGCACTGGACCTGGAGGGCGGTACAGGGAGAAAGATGAGGCTAAGCAGGGCAGCTGCAGGTATGAGAGTGAAGGGCCAGGCGGCACTGAGTCCCACTCTTCTTGGTGCAGCAGATTTTATTTTATTTTTTAATTTATTTTTTATTAGTGAAACACCATGAGGTACAGTTGTAGATTTACAAATTTTTGTGCTTGGATTTCGGTCATACCATGATCAAATACCCATCCCTCCACCAGTGCCCATTTTCCACCACCAGGATAATATCCCTCCCCCCATCCCTCCCATCCCCCCCTGCCACTGTGGCAGGGCATTCCCTTTTGTTCTCTCTCTCCTTTTGGGTATTGTGTTCAGCAAAAGAGGCATTGAGTGGCAAACATGTTCAGTCCAGTCTACTTTCAACCTGCATCTCCCCTCCTGGGAGGATCCTCCAAACACCCTTTATTTGGTGCTCCCTTCTCTATCTGAACTGTCCTTTCCCCTAGAATACCCGGCTGACCTCTGAGCTATGGAGTAATCCTCCTGGTGTTGATCTCAGCTATTCTTGGGTATTAATCTCATATTTTGTTTTGTATCCCCCAGATGAATGCAATCTTTCTATGTCTATCCCTCTCTTTCTGACTCAATTCGCTTAGCATGATACTTTCCATATTGTACCACTTGTATGTAAATTTCATGACTTCATCTTTTCTAAGAGCTACATAGTACTCCATTGTATAGATGTACCAAAGTTTCTTTAACCAGTCATCTGTTCTTGGGCACTCAGGTTTCTTCCAGTTTCTGGCTACTGGTGCAGCAGATTTTAACAGGGGCAAGAGAATGAACAGGCCTTTCTGCTCTATGTCCTAGTTTTTCTTTACTAGGGCTTAGAGAGTTACAAGGATGGGGAGAGCAGAGGTTTTTAGATTCTTCTGACCAGGGAAGAATTGCTGGGAGGGAGGGCAGCCTGGAGTGTCCTTTCCACCCAGATCAGAGTCTGTTTTATTATGCAAATAAAGGTCTTGTGTACCCCGTCCCCCTTCCACCCCCTTCCCCTTAAGGCCCAGGTCTTTTTGGACAAAGTGAAAACTTTTATGAAGCAGTGGGCCTTGGTTGTGATAGGCAGGGTATGGAGAGTAGGAAGGCCTGTGCTTAGCCAGTCTTCCCAAGGCCCTGGTGAGGCTGTGGTGCAGGGGGGCAGGAAGGTTCTGGAAGGGCCCTGGGTGGGCTGTGGTGCAGGGGCAGGAAGGTTCTGGAAGGGGAAGACTTAGGCATGGGTGCTATAGCCTGCAGTGGTCCCAGGAGAGCTTGTGACTGGGCAGGGCCATCAGGTAGATTGACCATCAGAGTAGGCTGGGGCATCGTGGAGGGTTATAGATGATCCCAGTGGGCACTTTCTGGGGCAGTTCAAGCAGGGTTGGGGGGCTGTGTCCCTAAAGCAGGCTGGGAAGTGGGTTCTCAAGGGTATTGGCAGAGGTGGGTGGGATGTGAGGTGGCATCACTTGTGGTTCTTTGCAGCGTGCCCCATGCCCTGCTTCTGTGACCCTGAGGTCCACACACTCTTTCCTGCTGCAGGGTCCAGCCAAGACAAGACCCCTGCATCTGGCTCCGCATCCCTGCCGTGGATTCTGAAGGTCTTGGCAGAGCCCAGGCCTGACCCCAGCGGCCCCACGGTGGATGGCCAACCAGTTGCTTCAGTGTCTGGAGAGAGCCCCAGTGGGCAGGAGCCCCCTGCACTGAGGAGCTCAGGGGAGGGGACCCAAGCTTCATCTTCATCTTCAGGCCTGAGGCAGGGGTCAGGAAGTCTCAGACCTGCCCCAGAGTGGTTCTGGCTGGCTCCTCGCCCCTCAGTGCCTCCAGAGCGTTCTCTGAATGCAGACTCACCAGTACCCATGGAGGCAGTTCTCCTGAAGCCAGCTCTGCCAGGGGTCTCTGCACAGGGAGGTTCCTTACAGGGGACGCCCAGAGGTCCTGACTGTGGCATCTGTCCCCAAGTAAGGAGCGCCCCCTCTGCCCAGGCTGGCGTGGGTGAGTCCCCTGGTGTCCAGTCTCAGCTTGTTCCCCTCGTCTGAGGGGCAGTTGGCTCTCACTTCCCTATCAGTTTCTCCAGGGTTTTGTGTGTATGTGTGTGTAGGGGGGTTCTTCTGGGACTGTCAGGGCTGGGGTCTGCCTGCTCTCTGCTTCTGCCTGATGCTGAAGAACACTGACAGCGAGGGGTTTCTGTTTCTGGGCTGGGGGTGTGGACTATACCTGGTGGTGCTCAGGGGCTATCCCTGCCTCTGTGCTCAGGAGTGACCCCTGGTGGCGCTAAGGGGACCTCTGTGGAGCTGGGATGGGGCAGAATACAAGACAAGCACCTCCCTGCTCCCCCTGCAATATTGCTTTAGAGTGAAAGGAGTCTATGAGACTCTGGAGGGCAAGAGCAAGTCCCAGCAAAGGATCCCTCTGCCCTCCTGTCTAGAGCGTGGCTGGGCATTTGGGTCGCAAAGCCAGGACGCTGGGAGTATGGCTTTACAGCCGCGCCTCCAGCTCAGCCCTCCTGAAGGCTTTGACACCCACCTCCCTCCCTGCTGCATGGAAATCTCCAGACTCAGGGTGCTGCTCCCGGAGAGGATAAAGAGCTGGGGTCTCCAGGCAGCTTTGTGGGCGACTGACCTGAACACGGCTTTGAGGCCTCTCTGCCTGTCTCCACCACTCCCAGAATTACCCTGCTGGTCCTCCAGCCTCACCTCCTCTCTCTCAGCTCCTGTGAAGGTGGTTCCAGGAGGCCAGGGAATGGGCTGGATTGGGAGGACACCCGTTTCCACCCCCGTCAGTGACAGTCAATCATCCTGCCAGCAGGAGCCAGCTCTGTGTGGGGTCCGGCTCTTGGAATGTATGGGGATGGGTGGAAGCAGAAATAAAGGTGCTTGCTTCGGAAGTGATCCCTGTGTCAGCTGCTGCTCTCATAGGTGGGAAAGTACCTCAAATTCAGGAGGGGGGGGCTGTCATCCAGCCCCATGCAAGGGGCAGGGTGGGACCCCAGAGGAAAATTACTTAGGGAAACGGATAGGCGTGCTCTGTGCAATGCACAACAGTGTCACTGGGCCTGGCGGAGGGTTGGCATTAGCCACACCCCTGGGCTGTCAGGGCTGGAGACACAGATGCAGGGCAGGCACTGCCTGGATTCAGTGTGGAGTCTAGAATGTTCTGAGACTGATGGTGTCTGGGTCTCGGCAGGGATGGATTGGGGCGGGGGGGGAAGTGCCGGGGTTGGGAGAAAGGTGTCAGAGTGAGTCTAGGGAGATCGTGCAGGGTCTGGTCTGGGGCCAGGAGGGTCTACCCTGGGAGGTTTCCATGAGAGATGCTGCCCCTTCCTTCACATCTGTGCACGAGTTCCCTGTTAGTGACTGAACAGGGAACATCCCTCCTAACACGTATTGGAGCTTCCCTGGTGCTCGTAGACCAGAGCACCTTCATCGGGGTCCGGTGGGCCATGAAGGAGGTTGCTTCAGAGGCTGGTTCCAGGTTCAACAGTTTGTGCATTCACTTCAAAGATCAGTTCAGGGGCACCAGGGCGGGGGTGAGGTGGGGTGGGGAGAAACCAGTGGCAAAGGCTTCTGGAGGGTTTGAAAGAGCACATAGTGTGTAGGGTGCTTGCCTTGCTCGGGACGTGGGTTTAATCCCATGACCCACATCTTGAAGTGTGGCCAAAAACCAACAACAAAGGATGGGGGCTTCTGATGGGGAGTAGTATAAAGGTGATGGCACCTTCTCTGAACCCAGCCAGGGTACATCTCTGGACAGGCAGCACTCTTCCCTAGCAGGATCTCTGGGAAGGCTGGCTGGAGACACGAGGTGCCAAGGAGGAAACGACCCCTAGGTGGAGACCCCAGGCCCCACAGACCAGCACAAAGACACAGACAGACCCTGTTTGCACCGGGACTATGAGCCCAGCTTTCCATGTGGCCTGCTGCTCACTGACCCAGGCCACGCCACGGGGCAGCGCTTGGCTCTGATTGCAGGGCCTGGCTAGACGCTGGTGTTCTAACCCTGGCCCCAGAGCAGGAGGGGCGGGGCAAGCTGCAAACGCGCTGCACCGGCTGCAGAGAGCCGCGGGGGTGGGCGAGGGAGTGGAGTTGACCAGAATTGTTTCCACACCCCAACTTCTTGCCAGGGTGCATGTGGGGGAGGCAGGGGCGGGCTCATTCAAAAGTCAGCCGGGGAAGCTCTGGTCTCCACGCGCGAGTCAGTCCACCGCCCTCCGAGCCTGCCCCGCCCCCTTTGTTTCGCTGCACACGACATCACCCTGGTGATCGAGGAGCTGGTTCGCCCCCAAATCAGCCAGTGCCGGGGGTTTCAGTCTCAGTGGCTGCTGACATCCGAGTTCAAGCCGGTTTCCCTCTTACCTCAGTCCCATAACGGCAGAAACTGAGGCGGCTGCAGGAGGGAGAGCCTGTTTGGGGGTGGGGTGGGGGGAATGATAATCCCCTCTTTGGACTCGCATGTCCCACGGGCTCCGCGAGGAAGCGGAGGTCCTCTCGCGGTGGCGGGAAAGATTTTGGAGAGGGGGGATTCGGGCAGTGTTTCCCCCCCTGCCTCCCCGGCCTCCTCGGCTCCAATGCTTTCCTCCCGGCATCGGGTAATGGGTGTGTTAGTTTATGCTCTGGCGCCCCCAAATACTCGCCTGCCCTCCTCTTGCGGGGGGTCAAAAAGTAGCGATCAGCTCGCCGCTGTCCAGGGTCCCAGGGCTCGGCTGCCGCCCCTTGGTCTGGTCTCGTTGCGGGGATGCGCCAGCGCCGCACCCCGGATCCTCGCGCGCGCCGGCCCCTCCTCCTCCCCCTCCTCCTCCTCCCAGAGAATCGAAGACCCCAGCTCCCCCGGCACCCCAGACTCCTGGCCCTCGTGCCCCTAGGCTGAGACGCACGGCAGAGGGAGCCGGAGGGTGGGGCGCGCCGGGGCGCACCTGGCGCACCCCCGGGCCGGCCGCCCCGCCTCCCTCCCCGCCCCGGCTCCCGCCCCGGTCTCCTCGCTCCGCCCGCCGCGCTCGCTCGCTCGCTCCCGGTCCCCGGCCGCGGCGGGCTGCCTGCTGCAGGCGCGGCTCCAGGCTCGGGCGAGCGGCCGCTGCAGCCCCGGCGCCTCCTCCCAGCCCCGCGGCGCCCCGCGCCGCGCCCCGCCCCGCGCCCCAGCCAGCGTCCTGCGGCCACGGCGGGACGCGCAACTTAGGGCAGCGACAGCAGAGGGACAACTTGGGAAACTTCTCGGGCGGCCGACGGCGGGGACACCGGGCGCGGGGAGGGGAAAGCATGTAGAAGGGCGGTGGCTGGCCACGGGCGTCCCCCGGTTCTCCTGGGTCCGGTTCCGCCTGGAATGAGGCTCCGGTGCCTTTAGCGCCGCCAGCGGGGCGACTCTCTGGTCTTGCCCAACTAGGTGGGCAAGCGTCCGAGCGGTCGCCAGCTGTGCACAGGCCCGGGGAGTGGCGCCCCTCTCTGGACGCCTTCTTCCCAGACATGGACCACCAGGAGCCTTACTCTGTGCAGGCCACCGCGGCCATCGCGGCGGTCATCACCTTCCTCATCCTCTTCACCATCTTCGGGAACGCGCTGGTCATTTTGGCCGTGTTGACAAGCCGCTCCCTGCGCGCGCCCCAGAATCTGTTTCTGGTGTCGCTGGCGGCTGCCGACATCCTGGTGGCCACGCTCATCATCCCTTTCTCTCTGGCCAACGAGCTGCTGGGCTACTGGTACTTCCGGCGCACGTGGTGCGAGGTGTACCTGGCTCTCGACGTGCTCTTCTGTACCTCGTCCATCGTGCACCTGTGCGCCATCAGCCTGGACCGCTACTGGGCCGTGAGTCGTGCACTGGAGTACAACTCCAAACGCACCCCGCGCCGCATCAAGGGCATCATCCTCACCGTGTGGCTCATCGCGGCTGTCATCTCGCTGCCGCCCCTCATCTACAAAGGCGACCAGGGCCCGCAGCCTCGAGGGCGCCCACAGTGCAAACTCAACCAAGAGGCCTGGTACATCTTGGCTTCCAGCATCGGCTCCTTCTTCGCCCCCTGTCTCATCATGATCCTCGTGTACCTTCGCATCTACCTGATTGCCAAACGCAGCCACCGCAGGGGGCCCAGGGCCAGGGGGGAACCCGGAAAGGGTATGTCTCAGCAGACCTGCCAGATCCCCAGGGGAACCCCGGCCTCCACCAAACTGCCCAGCCTGGCTTCTCCTCTGGTTGTGGCTGGAGAGACTCCTGGACTCTCCAAGCCGCCCGGGGAGAACAGGGAGACGGGAACACCGGAAGATCCTGGGACTCCTGCCTTGCCACCAAGCTGGCCTGCCCTTCCTAACTCCGGTCAGGATCGGAAGAAAGGTACATGTGTGGCACCTGCAGAGGAGGAAGCGGAAGAGGAGGAAGAGGAGGAGGAAGAATATGAGGAGGAGGAGGAAGAGGAGGAAGGCGGGCCCCAAACCCTGCCTGCGCCCCCCACGACAGCTCACAGCCCCCAGCTGCGGCAGCCCCAGGGTGCGCGCGTGCTGGCCACCCTCCGGGGCCAGGTGCTCCTGAGCAGGAGCGCGGGCGCAGTGAGCGCGCAGTGGTGGCGGCGGCGCGCACAACTGAGTCGGGAGAGGCGATTCACCTTTGTGCTGGCCGTGGTCATCGGGGTCTTCGTGCTCTGCTGGTTCCCCTTCTTCTTCAGCTACAGCCTGGGCGCCATCTGCCCGCAGCGCTGCCGGGTGCCCCATGGGCTCTTCCAGTTCTTCTTCTGGATTGGCTACTGCAACAGCTCGCTGAACCCGGTCATCTACACCATCTTCAACCAGGACTTCCGCCGCGCCTTCCGGAGGCTCCTCTGCCGCCAGTGGACCCAGACGGCCTGGTGAGCCCGCGGCGCAGGTGGGGGTGGTGCCAGCCGGCATTGGGGCCACCCTGGTTTTTTCTTTTGGGTGGCCACATCCGGGGTCTTTTTGGTCCTTGCCCAGGGCCTATAGGCCTTATCGTGGGACCCCTCTGGAGATGCAGGCAGTGCTCGCAGGGATCCACGGAAACCTCCCCGTGTCCCCTTGGCTGTGGGGGTGCACCTTTTTCACCCCCTGCCTGAGTTCAAGAGGTGGGTGAGGCTAGAAGCTTCTGGAATATTGCCTAGGCCAGGCTAGCCTAGAGCGCCCCTCCCAGAACCCCTGGCCCCGGCAAGGCGGTGGAGGGCCCTTTCTGGAAGGCCCCCAGTGTTCCTTCGCAGGCCACTTGTGGTTTTGTTTCCTTTGACCACCCTTCTGCCTTTCCCAGACGGGACTGCTGCTAAGGAGGGGCAGACCCAGGACTGTGCCTCCCAGCTGGTCACCTGTGGTTCTTAGGGCTGTCTCAGGGCCCTTTGCCCCCTTCTGCATCCCTAGTTCCTTTCAAATGGGAGCTGGGATGGGTTTTCCTGACTCTTTTCTCACCCAGGATCCCTCTGAAGGTGGGCAGGTGTGGATGCCTCTGTGGGCGTGGGCAGCCTGGAGAGAGCCCCAATCATTAGCATTCCCCCCTGCCCAAACCAGGGGGACAATCTCTGCTGCATACTCTCCACAAGGAGATGAAAGGACTTGCAGAAAGCTTTGAGCTCAGTGGGGGTTGGGGGGAGGAGAGGACGCTAGAGAACCAGAAAATGTGATTATTTGGTGATAATAAAAATTTTCTTTCTCTGTGTTTACCACCATCTGTCTTCCTGGAGACCTTTGTTCTGGGCTTGGGGTGTGCTCATTCCTGCCCCAGACTGGAAGAGGGGTGAGGTAGAGCCCACATTTCAGTTATAGGAACGTGTTCTTGTGCCTGCAAAGGTTTGAGTTACTGCGTGGCTTGACAGCTTCTCAGCGTTTCACCTGCAGCACCAAGATGGTTTCCGTAGCTTTGCTCCCCCCTCCACTTCCTGCTCCCCTGGAATAAGTCTTTTGTCACCAAGCAGGCAAATGGTGTCCCCAAGATAGCTAAAAATACCCTCACCAGGGGAGTGCCTGCGGTGGGGACAGAGCTCGGCTTCCACGTGGACTTGGGGGCATCTGAATGGGTGGCAGGAGCAGGGGTGGAGTCCATGAAGGACACTGATGTTTCTCTGATGGACCAGGCTGGTCTGGAAGAGTGCGAGGGGGTGTTCTGGAGAGGCCGGATGGGAGTCACTCCTGAGGCTGGGGTTGTCCAGCTTGGTTCTCTGTGTCCCTACGAGCTGGGGGGACTGACTTGTAACATCAGCTGATAGTTTCATGAGTGTGCCAGGAACCCTGCTATTGTTGGCAGTGGCCCCTTATTGTGATATGCAGGTGTTTTTTTTTCCTAAAGTCTGAGCTATTTTATCAATAAAGAATATTTTGTAATAAGTGAGCTGTGTCTTCCTGCCTGCCAGACCCAGGCCCCATGGTCTGGTACCCACCTGCCCATCTGCCCACCTTCCCCACCCACTCATCATTAGAAGTAAGGGGTGAAGTGGGGTGGAAATTGGCCAGAAAAGCCTGAGACTGGCTGCCTGGGAAGGGAGGGCTTCCCCGAGGAGGTGACCTTTGGACTGGGTCTTAAGCATCACAGTGCAGCAAGGTGACAAAATGGGAAAGGTGGGCTGGAGGGATGGCTCAGTGGACTGAGTGATCTTAGAGCAGGAGGCCCAGGTTCAAAGCCTGGCACTGCGTTATCTTCTGAGCACTGCCAAGTGACCTCCTGAGCAGTGCCAGGTGTGTGCTACCCCCCCCAAAAGAAATAATAAAAGATAGGAAGGTGTTTGGGGCACCGGTGAGGGAAGTTGGGTGGCAGGATTGTCCCACAGTGGGAGGGTGGCAGCTAGCCGGGGTGGTGCCAGGGTGGCAGCCAGACCCTGTGCCCGTGGCTGCAGATCTGTTGGGGAGGGGGTCACTCTGGAAGGTTGAAGCTGTGGCCTTCAGTGAGGGGCCTGAGGGCGGGTGAGCTGTGTGGCTCCCTGAGTGCTCACCCATATAAACATTCCCCTCTCAGTTCCCAGTGTCCCAGTGTCTGTCCTTCCACAGCCAGTCCCCCGGCCACCCAGCTAAGACTGGGAGTGGGCTAGTGAGGCAGCAGGGGTGGGGGGCTGATGACAATGGCAGGGAGGGGAGGGGGTTGGCTGGGGGAGAAGGAAGCCCAGGGTCTGCTGTATGAGATCACCCCTCTTTACCTTGACCCAAGGGATGGGACCTTCTTTTTATTTTTTATTTTATTATTATTATTATTATTATTATTATTATTATTTGCTTTTTGGGTCACACCCAGCAATGCACAGTGGTTACTCCTGGTTCATGAATTCAGGAATTACTCCTAGTGGTGCTCTGGGGACCAGATGGGATGCTGGTAATTGAATCCGTGTCGGCCGTGTGCAAGGCAAACATCCTACCCGCTGTGCTATCGCTCCAGCCCCAAATGGGACCTTCTTGAGGGTGAGGAAAGCCCCACTCTGCTCAGAGATGCCCTCCCTGGCCCCAGCCTCCCAGGACACCTGACATGGTGATCAAGTGGTTCATTACTAAGCTAATTGTTTTCTGTTCTTTTGATAGGTCTGTTTTGTTTTGGGGCCACATTCACTAACCCTTTCATCTATCTCCCCAGTTCTCTTTATTGAGTTATTTATTTTGGTTTTGGGAACCACACCTGGTGGTGCTTAGGGCTCCTGGAGCTGGCTATGTTCCCCAGCCTTTTCCTATTACTTTTCTGACCCACTTGCTCCTGTGCCCATCTGGAAGCTAGATTTCAGCTCATTTTATTCAGGGGCTCAGAAAGGTGTAACGGCTTGTTCAAAATCACCTAGATCCACTCTTTTCATGGGTCCACTGTTTCATCTACTTTCCCATATGCTGCCTGAAGATTGGCTAGGGGCAGACCCAGGAATCAGAGGCGAGCACTGGAAGATTATTTCTGCTGAAGGGACCAGAGCAATAGTACATCAGGTAGGGCATGTACTTGCATGCAGCCAACTCGGGTTTGATTCCTGTTATCCCATATGGTCCTCTAAACATGCCAGGAGTGATCCCTGAGTGAAGAGCAAGGAATAAGCTCTGAGTACCACTGAGTGTGGCCCCCAAAACAGAACAAAAATATTATACCTTCTGGATCTGGACTATTGGCAGCCTATTTTGGATGCTGTGGGGTGGGGGTGGCGGGTCTCCCAAGTGGTGTTCAGTCCTGGGGCCAGTCTCAGTGATATTCAGCCAACCAGACCAACAGTCAATGTGAGAATACATGTTCAGTGCTTCTTGGCGGCATTACTAGATTTAATCTCCACAACCTTGCAGGGTTTACTCATTAAAAACTATTTCACTGTGTGTGTGTGTGTGTGTGTGTGTGTGTGTGTGTGTATGTGGTGGGGGAGCTGAGAGATAGTACAGAAGTTAAAGCACTCACCTTGCATATGCAACCCTGGTTTGATCCCTGGCACCATATAGGGTCCCCTGGGCACCTTCAGGAGTGATCCCTGAGCAGAGAGCCAGGAGTAAGCCCTGAGCACTGCTGGGTATGACTCAACACCAAAGCAGAACAATCTTCCCCAAATTAATATGAAATAAGATTGAATTGAATAAGAAAATCAGAAATAATAAAAACATTTTATTTTTTATCTGCTTATTTTTATTGACATAGCCTCCCCCCCCCCCCCCCCCCCCCGTGGCAGTACACTGGACCCTGCCTAGTGGTGCTTGGGAACTGGGGATCAAACCCTGGGCCTTGCACAGGCAAGCCAGGAGCTCCACACTGGAGTTGTGGGTCTGACCATTTTTAGAGAAGAGGAAACTGAAGCTCAGGTCACCTGGCTGGGTCTTTGAATCACAAAGGTAATGACTGGGGCAGAGCTATGGACCCAGTCCTTACTCCATGGTCCAGATTGCATCCCTCCATCACCAGGAAGCAGTGCTACGGGATGTGGAAGTGATGCTGAGTGATCCCTGGGCTTTCAGTCCAAACCCCGAATGCCATTAATGAGAAAACACACACACACACACACGCACGCACGCACACACACACACACACACACACACACTGATGACTTATGTTAGCAACCCTCTGCTTCCCCCACTCAGACCTACCAATAAGCCACACAGTGGCAGAGCCCTGGGTGCTTGCCCAGCCCAACCACTGCAACCCATCTCCCATGCCTTCCTGGGGGGTTGCTTCCAGGGCCAAGGGGAAACATCTTCTGACCGTACACTGTGAGCCAGGTCTGTGCTCCCTGTTCCAGCTCTCAGAGGAAGAGAGGGAGGAGGAGCTGCAAGGCTGCCAAGGGCTGGTGAGGGAAGCTGAGTCCAGCACCCAGCTTCCCCCTGCTGCTCCTACAACCCTTCTCTCTCCTGTGTCAGTAGCACCTGAGCCCAACTGAGGGTCAGTGTGTCAGTGAATGGTACTCAGTGCAGCAGAGAGATGGGGAGGGGAGGTCCACTTCTCACCATACCCTCTCCCCTGTCCCTCGACCCAGCAATATGGGTGTCTGCCAGTCACATGGAGGGGGCCGCGAAGCTCAGATGCTGGACTATGGCTCCTGCCTCTCAGATGTGGACTTTCTGCAAGACCTGTGTTAAGTGTCTCTGACCAATGAGTAGCATCTACAGGGAAGACAAAGATCGCTTCTGCCACAGTGCCATGAAACTGCACCCACTGCAAGTCTGGGCCTTTGATCAAAGGGAATACCGGGGTCAGACCCAGACTTGGTGGGAGGGAGGCAGCACAGCTGCTGGGAAACTGGGGGTGGCTGGGAACTCCTCTTTGGATCCTGGTTGCAGAAGGCAACTGATGCCTGCTCAGAGGCACCTGTGACAGGAGCGTCCCATTGAATTGATCTCAAGTAAGTGTAAGGGGAGAGGCACACTGGTGGGCTCCTTGCACTTGCCCTTGCCCTTCCCATCCTTTGCCTTCTCTCCATCGCATATCCGGCGAGCAGGGAGGGGGCGTAGAACCTGCGCTATCACCTGCTCTCAGCGGGCTGCTGGTCTGAGACTGGCATCCGCCTAGCT